CGGGTGCTAGAGAAGCAGCCCAGGTCTACCTGCACCCCCATGATGCCGCCCTGCCTGGAGGCCCAGCCCCCCCTCACTTGGTCACCCCGCTGTGAAGACCAGGTGTTTCTTGCCCGCCTTTGATCCGCCGCTGCCCAGGAGCCCCTGCTCCCCGCTGTGGCAGCCTCAGCAGCTGCTGCGGGAGGGCGCTGGGCAGCCTTCCGGCCCTCCCTTCCTGGGTCACACTTTGCCTCCATCCCCGAAGTGGGCGTGGATCCCTGCGACATCTCGCAGCCTCTTTGAGCACCTGAATTCGATTTGCAGTTGTGAAAATTATTTGAAAGCTCATAAAAAAAAAAAAAAAAAAACGAATGAGAGGTTTGTGGGTTTTTGTTTTTAGAAAAAAGCCAAGAAGGAAATATTGAACATGAAATATATAATTAAGTTACATGATTCCATTGAACTAGCGTTGCATACCTGAAATAAATCCCACTTAGTTGTGGTAAATTTCTTTATACATTGTTGGAGTCGATTTTGCTAATATTTTTAGTATTTTTGCAGTTGTATTTATGAGAGATACTGGCCTGTAGTTTTTCTTTCTTGTAATGTCTTCCACTAGTTTTGGCATTAGGATAAGGCCGACCTCACAGAATGAGTTAGGAAGGGTTCCCTCTGCCTCTATTTTCTGAAATGCTTCTATGTACATTAATGTTCTGTAGAATTCATCAGTGAGACCATCCCAGCCTGGTGCTTTCTGGTTTGGAATCTTATTAATTGATTCAATTTTTGTGCTAGCTATAGGCCTATTCAGATTATTTATTTCTCCTTGTGTGAGTTTTGGTGAATTCTGTCTTTCAAGAAATAGGTCTGTTTCACCTAAGTTATCAAATTGGAGGGCATAGCGTTGTTTATAATATCCCTTTAGTATCCTTTTAATGTCCATGGGATTAGTAATGATGCTCCCAATTTATTCCTGGTATTAGTAGTTGGTACCCTCTCTCTTTTTTCTTGATTAGCCTAACCAGAGGTTATTAATTTTTTTAAAATATTTTCTTTATTTATTTTTCAAGAGAGGGGAAGGGAAGGAGAAAGAGTGGGAGAGAAATATCAATGTGTGGTTGCCTCTCATGTGTCCCCTGCCGGGAACTGGCCTGCAACCCAGGCATGTGCCCTGACTGGGAATCAAACTGAGATCATCTGGTTCGTAGGCCCGCGCTCAATCCACTGAGCTACACCAGCCAGGGCCAGAGGTTATTAATTTTATTGATCTTTTCAAAGGACTAACTTTTGATTTCCTTGATTTTTCACTATCAATTTCCTGTCTTCAATTTTATTGATTTCTGCTCTAAATTGTACTTCTCTCCTTCTGCTTATTTTGAATTTCATTTGCTTTTGCTTCTTCTAGTTTTCCAAGCTGGAATCTCAGATCACTCCTTATAGATCTTGGTTTCCCCACAGCGTGTGCATTCAGTAAACCTCCCCTCCCCCTGCTATCCCTGCGCCCCACAAACACCGATACGTTGTATTTTCCTTTTCATTTAGTTCAAAATTATACATGAGATGCCATTTTCCATTGATCAGTTTGGCAAAAATGGTAAAGTCGATAATACATGGTGTGAGTTAAGCTGTGAAGGAAAAAGCACATGTATACTTTGGTACTGGGAGGAGAGACATGTTCAACCATTTGAGGTAGCAATATGCACATTTCTGTAGAAATTTAAAGGCATGTGTGTTTTAATTTGATAATGTCTAGATGTCTGTACAGGTGTGCTCATGCACCAGCCACCTACCTACATGAGACAGAGTTTCCAATGGGAAAAAACCTGGAACAACCCACGTGCCCGTTGACAGAGGACCACTCTGTGATCCATTCGATGAAAGTCTAGGCAAAGAGGGTAGCATATCTCTAACACTGAAAGATAATCAAGGTATACTATTAAGTGAACATGCAGGCTATGAGAAAATGTTTAATGTGATAGCATTTGTTTTCTTTGAGGAAAAGAAAGAAGAGCTTATCCTGTGTATAATATGCCTGGATTTGGATGAATTCATCTAGGAAGTCATAGCTTCCGGGAAGTGCATCTAGGAAGTGCAGTTGCTTCCGGGACACAGATGCTTGGGGATCAAGGCAGTGGAGCGCTGTTTGTTTTTTCCTATGTACCTTTTGCAGTTTGAATAGAATCACATGGAATTTGAAACCGTTTTAAAGGCAAACTGCAGGTTTGAGCCCACACATGACTGAAAACACACAGGCTATTTCCTTTGCTCTCTCTTCCTTATAAGAAAGCACACAACAGGCTGTGCCCCCCTGGGCTTTGCACACCCTTCTCTCGTTTTATGTATAGAAAGGTTTCAAGGGGGAAAACCCTCCTGTCAGATGCACTATTGATGGCTGGTAGTTTCTGAATGAAAAAAAAAAGACTGTTTTTGATCATTACACAAAAAAGGAAACTTTGCTTTCTTAGAAGCGTTTGAATAGAAAGGTCATTTAAACTCGCCATCTTTAGAAACTAGAAGAACTGAGCATCCCTTGTACTCAGCTGACCCTTTTAGTTTTCTGCAGTGTTTTCCCAAGGTTGTTCGTTTGTTTGCAGTGAACCATCCCTTTAAACGGCCGTGGTCCTAGGGAGCAGACGCTGTCATGGCTGCCCATGTTGCAGCGCACACACTCTTATGTGGCTGCAGGGCCAGGAAACTCTAATTTGGGGGAGTATTACACTTGATGCCTTGGACAAAGCACCAAGTCTGAATCAGGAAATACCAAAAAAACCCAAAAAACACTGTTGTGGGAGGGAGCACTTCCCCCCCACTCTGGAAAGAGCATCTCCTGGAGTTGGCAGGGGAAGGGGGCTGGGCTGTGATTGGCACCTGTGTCCTGCATACGTTAGTGAAGGAGAATGGAGGCTTCTGAAACTGCACCTGAAACACCACCTGCTCCTTTCTGCACAGCAGCTTGTACTCAGGACAGCTGGGGATGACAGCTGGTACTTCATCCATGCTGGCCTGCTTGTCAACACAGGCCTGACGTGGGGTTGAGAGCAATTTAAACTCATGTTTTCATTCTCACTACATTTTTCTAGATGGGGTTGTCAAATACGAAACTTGCTTTTCACCGTGGACTTTCTTGATGTCAGATTGGCAGCTTTGCATAGCAACCAACCAACCTCCTGAGCTACCACAGGCGGGGGAGGGGAGCAGAGAACCCACTGCCCAGCTGTGTTGATTTAGCCCTGGCTGAACCTGAGCTTCCTCAGCTGTGCCCCACTCGGAAGTTTATTGTGAGGATTAGACAAGATAAGGAGCAAGGAAGGTGTTTGTAACAGAGATGGGCAAACAGAAGGCTCTCAGTGCGGCAGCTGGCTACCAAATCACACTGGGTGAAGGAAACTTGAGAAAACACAAAACAGCACACACACACACACACACACACACACACACACACGGGGGAATCTGCCCAAAACGGAGTTTCTTTATTTAAAAAATGTGTATTTATTCTTACATGTTTAAACTTCAGCCACCGTCAAAGTACTATCTGTTTGATGCAATACACCTATTGAGATGTTTTTTCCATGGCTCAAGACATTTTTTAACTCGTCGGTTTTGTTGCCTTTTAGTGCTTCTGCCATTTTTTTTGTTTGTTTTACCTCCACCATATCAGCAAAACATTTCCCTTTCAGGACTTTTTCATCGGGGGGTGGGGGGGAAAGGCGTGCAGGGAGAGATTAGGTGAATAGGGAGGATAGGGCATGGAGCGTGCCGTTTTCAGTTAAAAACTGCTGAACAGCCCTGGCCAGTGTAGCTCAGTGGATTGAGTTCAGGACTGCAAATCAACTGGTCGGTGGCTGGATTCCCAGTCAGGGCATATGCCTGGGTTGCAGGCCAGGTCCCCAGTAGGGGGCATGAGAGGCAACCACACATTGATGTTTCTTTCCCTTTCTCCCTCCCTTCCCCTCTCTCTGGAAATAAATAAATAAAATCTTTTTTAAAAAACTGCTTAACAGAGCCCTGGCTGGTGGAGCTCAGTGGATTGAGCGCGGGCCTGCGAACCAGATGATCTCGGTTTGATTCCCAGTCAGGGCACATGCCTGGGTTGCAGGCCGGTTCCCTGCAGGCTAGTTCCCGGCAGGGGACCCACGATATGCAACCATACATTGATATTTCTATCCCTCTCTCCTTCCCTTCCCCTCTAAAGATAAATAAATAAAATCTTTTTTTAAAGATTTTATTTATTTATCTTTAGGTGGGAAGGGAAGGAAAGAGGCAGAGAAACATCAATGTATGGTTGCCTCTCATGTGTCCCCTTCTGGGAACTGGCCTGCAACCCAGGCATGTGCCCCGACCGGGAATCAAACCGTGATCCCTTGGTTTGCAGTCCCGCATGCAATCCACTGAGCTACACCAGCCAGGGCATAAATAAATAAAATCTTCTTTAAAAATCTGCTTAACACTGAGCACTGTGTGGGCAGGTGCGCTCTTATCACCCATCGTGAGATCAGCAAATGTGTTCATCGTGAGTCTTCACACAAAAAATATACTGAAACCAAACGCAGCCTCTCACGACAACGCCATATGGTGCACTAATCCAGCTGGGTTCGTAGAACACTCACTTAGCTGGGGGAAGCTGTGCTCTACAAGGGGCTCACCCTCCAGAAGATAATTCTGGGTTTTAGGAGATATATACGAGGAGACAATTCCCCTCGTATTTAGTTCATTTACAAAAGTGCAATGACATTGTACAAAGTTTAAAGTTTTTGTTCACAATCATAGGTAAGTCCCTTCCTAAGGCCTATAGAGCAGGACGTTAGCGGTATTTTTCTTGGGCTGGGTGCTGTTCAGAGCGGCGAAGTGCTGAAGGAGGCCTCCGGGCCCGGGCCATCTCAGAGGCCACAGTTCCCCGCCACACCCGACATGGCGGCCGGCCGCAGCCAGTCTCAGTGTCAGGCTCAGGATCACTTCCGCCTGTCACTCTCAGCGGGTCACTACCAGCGCGCTCCGGGGCGGGGCCGAGGGCGGAAGTGGGTGTGGCAGGGACGGAAGCCGAGAAGGCACGCCGCTGACCCAAAACCGTGGGAGTGGGAGCCGCGGGGTCGTAGGGATGATCCCCCCACAGGAGGCGTCCGCCCGGCGGCGGGAAATCGAGGACAAACTGAAGCAGGTGGGCGGGGGCTGGGAGGCGCGGGAGGAGGGGAGGCCGGGGCCGGAGACCGCGCTGCGGCGTCCACTCCGGGAAGAGGCGGGGGTGAGCGGGGCATTCCCTGCACTGAGCTGGGCACGGTGCCCGGGCCTTGGGCCCGCGGTGCGGTGGTCTTCGGCCCGGGCTGCTGGTGATGCACTCCCTGCGCTCCCCCAGGAGGAGGAGACGCTGTCCTTCATCCGAGACAGCCTGGAGAAGAGCGACCAGCTCACCAAGAACATGGTGAGTAACGCCTCGGCTAGGGGGAGCTGACAGGCCCCCAGATCCTGAGGAGAGCCCTGCGACCTACGGTTCGGGTCCAGAAGGCCCGGGATTCTGGCTTGGGTGCTGATGGCAGTGGTGGGTGGTTTCTTCAGCAACTGTGTGGCATGTCTCTTACCTAGCTCCCTTCCCCGTGTCCACCTCGTCACTGAGGATGCCTCTGCCCCCGCTGGCCTGCACTTTCTGCTCTCTGCCCAAGCTCTCCATTCTTCCTCCTCTCCTTCCACAGACACCTGAGACAGATGGGTGGGCTGGGTGTTGCTCGTATGTCATCCTCAATTCAGTGGATGGTCAGAGGGGGCGGAGGGCGGGGTTAGCACTCCTGAGACCCCGGAAGGTAGACAGGACTCAGCCATCACCCCCAGAGGGCTTTGGGGTAGCATGAGCTGTGAAGTCAGACAGATGGGGGGGGCAGGGAGAGCTAGTCCTCACCTTCCACTTACTCGTGTGTGGTGCGGTGCCGGACAGGTAACTCCGAGCCTCGGTGAACTTATCTGATAAAACAGAGACAATGCCAGCCTCCCAGTGGGGCCATGAGGGTCAAAGGAAGTAACACGTGGGAATGCATCTTGTACAGTACCTGGTATACAATAGGTGCTCGACAAATAGGGGTTTTCTTTTTTACCTCTAGAGGGGACTGTAAAGCACAATTGAGTAAATACAAACCTGGGCGTGTATTTGGTAACACAATGGTAAGGTCCTAGTCCTCATTTCATAAGATCCACCCTTAGAGAGAGAAGCTTCTGAAAACGCCCCAATGCGTTTGTGGCTACTGGATGTGAACTACTTCCTGTTCAGTCTAGGAAAGCCTCAGAAAGAAGATTTGGCTCCTAAGGGTGGAAGGGAAACCATCCTGGGGTGATTATCTTAGGAGGAATTCAGTTGATGCTGGATGGCCTTCAAATCAAGCTTCATCCAGTTTGTTTGGACCACCTCCTGTGTGTCGGGCCCGGGTGGGTGCTGAGGACACAGCAGTGAACAGCTACACCCCTGTCCCTTCCCTTACGGAGCATATTGTCTAGAAAACCAGAGAATAGGCCGCAAATGCCAAAGGCTGGTGGGTGTCTGGCAGCAGTACTGGGACAACCGTGACCCCTGAGAGCCCGGGTCCCCCCGCAGGTGTCCATCTTGTCATCCTTTGAGAGCCGCCTGATGAAGCTGGAGAACTCCATCATCCCTGTGCACAAGCAGACAGAGAACCTGCAGCGGCTGCAGGAGAACGTTGAGAAGACTCTGTCCTGCCTGGACCACGTCATCAGCTACTACCATGTGGCCAGTGACACAGAGAAGATCATCAGGGAGGGGTGAGCTGGGGCCAGAGGGTCTCATTCTTAATGACTCCTGGACTGGTGGCCCTAGGCCTTGGAAGGGAGGGGTAGAATACTCATATGTTTGAGCCTCTGTATTAATTCTCTTCTTTCCCCTTCCAAATGCCATTCCCTTGGTCCTCCTCTTCATCTTCCATCCACGCATGCTCACACGGCTCCTTTCCTTCCCAGCCCCACAGGTAGGCTGGAAGAGTACCTGGCGAGCATGGCCAAGATTCAGAAGGCTGTGGAGTATTTCCAGGACAACAGCCCAGACAGCCCAGAGCTCAACAAAGTGGTAAGGGGCTAGCAGGGTAATGTGAGGGGTCCGGGGACACCAGTCTCTGCCCTGGGCTCATGAGAGACTGAGCAGCTTGAAGGAGAACATAGTAGGACAAACAGAAGTATGTAATACAGTAGTCCTCAAGGCCTCCGCCTCAGGAATTACAGAGATTATTTGTACTGCATTTGTATAAATTAACTGAATTATAAATCACGTGTACAATTTAAATTTAACATTGATTTTTATAAATGCATTTGTGGTTTGTTTATGCATTTGATAAAAGCACATACTATAAAAATTTATCAATTTAACCATCTTTTACAATTTGGTCTTTAATTGCAGTTGACATGCAATATCTTACTAGTTTCCGGTGTGGTGATTATTAGACGCTGATACATCTAATGACGTGATCCCCCCAATAAGCGTAGTGCCCATCTGACCCACGCAGAGTGATTACAACAATACTGTGTCCCTTCTGCTGTACTTTACACCCCTGTGACTATTTATGTAACTCCAATTTGCACTTCTTAACCCCTCCCCCTTTTTCACCTGTCCCTCTAACGCCTTTCCATCTGGCGACCACCAATTGTTCTCTGTATCTATGAGTTTATTTCCGTTTGTTTGTTCATTTATTTTGGTTTTTTTGCATTCCACATGTAAGTGAAATCATGTGGTACTTGTCTCCCTCTGACTTACTTCACGTAGCATAGTCCCTTCTCTGGGTCCATCCGCATTTCAACCCGCTTTGAGCGCACAGCTCTGTGGCACTGAGTGCCTTCACTTGGCTGCGCAGCCGTCACTGCTGTCACCTCCAGAGCTCCTCTGCTGCCCAGACTGAGCCTCTTCCCCATCAAGCCCTAGCTCCCCTCTCTCCTTTGCCTCCAGCCCCCGGCAACTGTTATTCCACCTTCCGTCTCTATGAATTTGGCTGTTCTAGTCCATTTTCTGTCTCCGTCGACGGGTCTGCTCTGGACTTCTCATGTCAATGGCATCATACCGCCATGTGACTTCTGTGTCTCGCTTCTTCCCCTCAACATAACGTCTGTGGAGTTCACATATGCCGCAGTGCATGCGTATCAGTGCTCACTTGGTGGGCGCCCCACCCTCTGGCTGTTATGAAAAGGGCCGCTGTGAACCCTATGCACACACTCTTGTGTGAACGTGTTTCCAATTCTCTTACATGCCCTGGGTACCTGCCCTTATCGGGTAGATGATATGCAGATATTTTCTTTCATTCTGTGGGTTATTTTTTCATTTTTTTGATGGTATCATGTACAGCACAAAAGCTTCTAATGCGACATTGTTCAATTTATCTATTTCTTTTTTTTGCAAACCCTTTTCTAACAAGAAGGCCAATTAATAGCGCAGTGAGAAAATAATGAGCCAATATTTATGAAGCATCTACTTATAAAACTCTGGGCTTCACTTGTGAACATACAGTTTGGGAGAACACGAGGTGCAGGTATAATCAAGGAAGCCCTCCTGGCGTTTCCTGCCTGGGTTCAAGGAAGTGAAGGCAGAGGAGAAGGAGGTGAGGGCTAGCTGAATGCTGAAGCGCCAGCGGACCCTCTCCCTCCCTTTCTTCCTTGGCCCCCCCCCCGCAGAAGCTGCTGTTTGAGCGTGGGAAGGAGTCTCTGGAGTCCGAGTTCCGCAGCCTGATGACCCGGCACAGCAAGGTCGTCTCCCCTGTGCTCGTCCTGGATCTGATCAGCAGCGAGGAGGAGCTGGAGGTCCAGGAGGAGGTGCCCCTGGAGCACCTGCCTGAGGGTGTGCTCCTGGACGTGGTCCGCATCTCCCGCTGGCTGGTGGAATACGGGCGCAACCAAGGTAAGAGGGGAGGGGTGCGGTCTCCCTTTATTTGTTTAATCCTCCTGGGCTTCCTTTTTTTTTTTTTTTAATAAAAAGCTTAATAGGAAATAATAGGGCAATAAATCTGTAGCTTTTGTATCAAATTGTGAATCTAGCCAAATCCAAGATTTTCTTTATGTACCTTACTTTCCTGTTTTTTTACCTTTTTATTTTGGATTAATTATAATATTTTTAGCCCTGGCTGGTATGGCTCAGTGGATTGAGCACCAGCCTGCTAACCAAAGGGTCGCGGGCTCCATTCCCAGTCAGGGCACAGGCCTGGGTTGCAGGCCAGGTCCCCAGAAGGGGGCGTGCAAGAGGCAACCACACGTTGATGTTTCTCTCCCTCTCTTTCTCCCCCATTCCCTTATCTCTAAAAATAAATAAAATCTTCGAAAAAACTTTTCTCAAATAGTACTGAAAGCCTCAGGTGGAAAGCAGAATTCCATCTCCTCACTTCCTGGATGCCTACAACATTACCACCCGAAGACGAGCACTGTTAAGGTTGACTCAGACCCTTCCAAAGACTCCTGCAACAGAGAGTTGCAGGAGTGCGTGCGTGTGTGTGTGTGTGTGTGTGTGTGTGTCCTCTCCTCCTTCCCAGGTGGAAGTCAGTGCACTGAATGCGAGTCCCACAGTGTTTTTTTTTTTTAACTTAAACCTTTTTTTAAAAAGATTTTACTTTTATTTATATTTAGAGAGAGGGGAAGGGAAGGAGAGAAACATCAATATGTGGTTGCCTCTCGTATGCCCCCAAGTGGGGACTTGGCCTGCAATCCAGACATGTGCCCTGATCGGGAATGGAACCAGCAACACTGATTCGCAGCCCGCGCTCATGTCCGTCACTTCTGAGAGGCGGTGAATGCTCCTTACAGTACACGTGCATCTGCTCTGGGTTCTGCACACGGCTGCCCGGTGCTCCACAGCGTGGCAATGCCATCATTTCCTTTGCCAGCCCTCGGATTGAAAAACCAAAAACTTCCAACTAAGCAAACATTTCAGAAAACAAAAATTCCAACAAATACCTAGTTTCAAGCTTTTTAGCCTGCCATGCTTTGTTAGTGTGTGCACGCACCAAGTCCTCATTGTGCATCGCCGGTGTCCCCGCCTTCCCGAGCCCGATGCCTGGTGGTGGGTCTCCTACCACCCTGTACTGACCACACAAATTCACCATGGCGCATGTGCTGAGCCGGGGGACCTCCTGGGATGAGAGGGAGGCCGGTGGGCGTGTCCAGGCCCTTCAGACCACCCCAGTGCCCCGGCCAGTTTTGTGCCCTGGGACATGTCTGTGGGGAAGTGCTGCGGTGCACCGGGAGTCTGTCCCCTTTTCCTCATTAGCATTTTGGGGCTCCCCAGCTTTTCAGTTCTCATTAGCAGCACTGCTCTGAGCACCACTGAGTAAATTGCTTTTCTTAGGTAGGGAATTCTTGGGGTATTTTCACAAAGGTGCAATTGTCAGGTAGCGAGTTCCTCTCCAGGTAGGTGGGGATGTGACCGCTCTGTCGCCAGCCCCGCACTGTTCATTCTTCATCAGGGCTGTCGCAGTGTTCTGGTGGTTGTTTCAAGATTTTATTTATTGTTAGAGATAGTGAAAGAGAGGGAGAGAAACATTGATCAGCCGCCTCCCACGTGCCCCCGACTGGAGACCTGGCCCGCAACCCAGGCCTGTGTCCTGATTGGAAATTGAACCGGCAACCTTTTGGTTCGCAGGTTGGGGCTTACTCCACTGAGCCACACCAGCCAGGGCTCATCCAGTTATTTTCTTAAATGTTCACTTTGTTATCGGCTGAAGATTGTGTTTTCATTCACCAGCATGTGTTGTCCCTTTGCCTCCTGTAAATTGCTCACACCCTTTGACTCCTTACCAAGTTGCATTGAATGTTAGCTTTATATTTTTTATCTTAAAAAACAGTGTAGCTTCAAAACTTAAAAATGGTCCGTCCTATTGGAGTGTACTTTTCCTTTTAAGAAAGACTCGGCCTGATTTGGGACGAGTCCCTGTGGGTGGCAGTGAGCCAGAGCAGATGCTGGAAAGGGTTTGCAGGCAGAAATAGTGGACAGCCCCGTTGCCCCATTTGTCCTCAGATTTCATGAACGTCTACTACCAGATCCGCTCCAGCCAGCTGGACCGCTCCATCAGGGGCCTGAGGGAGCATTTCCGGAAGAGCAGTTCTGCCTCTGGGGTCCCCTACTCCCCAGCCATCCCCAACAAGAGGAAAGACACGCCCACCAAGAAGCCCATCAAGCGGCCAGGTGAGTGGCCACCCTGGGCTTAGCCCCCTCAGCCCCTCCAGAGCTTGTCAGAGTGACCCCAGCTTTAGGTACCAGGACAGAAAGTATCCACCCAGCCAGCAAGGCCCCATCCAGTGAGGCTCTCCCTTCTACTCAGCAGATCTAGGGGTTACATCAGTGTCTTTGGAGGTAGGGGAGTCACAGATGTGGGGGGACAGGATAACAGGGTCCCAGGGCGCAGCCACTTGCTGGGCCCCTTTCCCTCACCCCATCGTCCCGCCAGGAGGCCTGAGTGCTGCTACGGCCAAGGCCAAGGCCGTGGGATGGGGCAGGGCAGACTTCACTTTCCAGAAAGCCAGGGTGGCGCGAAGTGGTGCCTAACTGGGGGGGGTGGGGGCTGACACCTCCTCCGTCAGTCCAGAAAGGAAGAAGCCCGTCTGGCTTGCAGGCCACACTGCCAGTTAGGGCCTGGTGGTGGGGAAGTCGCCAGGCGGGGTTGGCGGGGGAGCGGCCTGGGCCGTGTGTCGTTGCTGCCCTGGTGGAACAGCTCCCTGTCTGTCTTTCTCCCGGCCACCCCGTCCCCCACTCACTACTTGGTTATCAGGAGCTGACTGTAGCCTGTGTGGGTCAACAGTGCCCCTTTGTGTAGCTGCAGCCTGGCCCGCCCGGCTCTGTCTGGCTGCCGAGAGATGTTGCCCTCGGTGGGTGTGGCCTGTGGAGTAGAGCTCACGTTAGGGTGCCTGGGTAGCTCTGGAAGGAAGTGCACTGTGTCTTCCCCTCCAGGGGGTGCCCTGGCTGCCCACCCAGAAAACTGGTGACTGCACCTCGCCAGCTGGCCTGGCTGCTGCACATGGTCGGTCCCTCTCTGTGCCTCTGCGTGTCCAGTTGGGCTGTGCCTGGGAGGCCACCTGGGCCTCAGCCGGCCGTGCTCACTGCCCCTCGGGCTCTGTGTTGGGCCCTGGAGGCCCTGGGGCCAATGTGCTCTGCCCAAGAGTGCTGGCTGGCCATGCGGGAACAGGGCCCGCCAGGAGGCGGTGCCCCCCGGGGACCTAATCAGTCCTTGGCTTGTAGACCCAAGAGGAAAACTCTCTGGAAGGGTCCCCATGGTCTCTGTGGGGTTTCGAGAGCTGTCAGGAGCTGGCAGGCTCTGGACTGATGTCAGGCCTGGGGCATGCGGCCTGGGGACCTCAGTTCCTGGCTCAGGCAGGGGAGTAGGGAGGCCTCGGTCAGTTGGTGGTGATGAGACACCAGACTCACGTCTGTGGTGACGGGGTGCCTGATGGCCGGGCCCACAGGCCCGTCTGCTCCTGATCGGGTGTGGGGCAGGGATCTGATGTGCTCATTAGTGGGAACACAGGAGACAGGTGCTCAGCTGGGCCCCCAAACTTGGTTATCAGTGGCTAGTTGTGGTGCAAACAGAAAGAAATGAGCCCCTCCAAACCTTGTCCCTCTCACCCTGCCTGGCCTTCTTGGGGGCATGCCCAGGACTCCAGCAGCCTGGCTGTGCTCCAAGACTCAGGGGCTGGGACTGGCTGTCTCCAGGGAAGGGGGACAGAGAGAACTCTGGTCATGGGTGCCTCCCCTCCCCCATCCTGAGGTGTCTCATTCCGCAGAGGTGGCCGACCCACGGCTGGGGCGCTGCAGTTTTGCTCTCGTTGTTTTTACTTGTGATACTAACTGTTGTTTTTTTCCATGCCACAAGCATGTACCCTTTCCTACTGCCCTCCCTCTCCTGTCTGTGAGGTGACTCTGTTAACCTGGCTCAGCTTTTGAGATTTTTCCTGTTGCTTTGGTGTGGGGACCTTCGGTGCTTGGTGCTCGGGGCCAGGCTGCCTCAGGGTCCCCAGGCCTCCCAGGAAGCGCTTCCCCTCTCACCAGCTCCCAGGGCTGCTTTCTGCTGACTACTGTTTGGCTCCCTGCCAACACTGAGCGTGCCGGAGAGCTCTGCCTGGTGGTCTCCTCAGGCCCCCCAGCTCCCAGCTACCTCAGGCTCTGGCCCCAGGTCATGCCCTCTAGGTGTGAGGGCTCCATCTCCAGCCCCTCCCTGCCAGCCCTTGTTTATTGTGGTCATAGGGCCACTTTTTATTTTGGCCCCTCCTGGTGGACCTTTGCCCCTCGCCTCCTTCACCCCCTGCTCGTCCTAAATGAGCTCAGAGCCAGAACGACAAGGGTCAGCAGCGGAACCAGAAGGCCCACGTGGGGGATGTGTCCATTCCTTCGTCTGTCTGCTGGCTCTCCGGTGGCCCTGGGGAAGGGTCTGCTGGGAGGGCCTGCGCGGTGTCGGAGGCCGGGCATGGGGCCGGGGCCAGGGCCGGGGGGGCGCCGCTGCTGTTTTCTCTCACTCGTTTCCTAGGTCTTCTTATCTCCTCTCTGTGTGGCTCTGGTGACAGGGACGATCCGTAAGGCTCAGAACCTTCTGAAACAGTATTCCCAGCATGGTCTAGATGGGAAAAAGGGGGGCTCTAACCTCATTCCTCTGGAAGGTAATCACCCCGTGTTCCTCTCCTGCTCCCCCTCCTCCACCGTTTGTTTGCTCCCAAGGCAGGGCAGAGCCTGCAGCCCCCCAGGAGGGCCTCGGGAGGAGCCCTGAGAAGGGACCAGGGGTGGGGACTGCAGGTCCCTGTGCCACTGCCTCCGGCTGGTGCAGGAACAGGTTTCGTGGCCGTGGCCTTGGCCCGACCCCATCTGGCTGGCGGCAGCTCTGCCCTCCCTGAGGCCCCCCCCCCCACCTCCCTCCCTGTCTCTGTCCTTGTCTCCTGTTGAAACTCGGAGAAAGTTCTTTGCCTGGGCAGCCCTTTCACGCTCAGACCAGCAGTGGCAGGACCAAGGCGTCCCAGGCCTCCTGGTCACCCCCACCCCCAACTTTAGAAGGGGGGGTGTGTGCAGCAAGGCGACAGGCAACTGGTCAGCCATGTCTCTTCCTCTGTCCTATAAGAGGAAGGACAGCTCCTACCTGGAGGACCTGACCTGCCTTCATAAGCATGATGCTGGGGCATAAGCAGAATGCTGTCCCCTGCACTTGGCAGTGGCATTTCTCTAACTGGGTGTCTCTCCCATCCACGGTGAGACAACCCCTGAGGCCGGCATTGGCCTCTGCAGCTGTCAGAATCCTCAGACCTGTCCCTGGTCCTCACAGGTTTCTTGTGGCCTCCGGGCTTGGGGAAACCAGCTTCTGCAGGTGGTCTGGGGCACCCCGAGTCGGGCTTGAAAGGGCTGTTCCCAAGGTGGCCTGAGGCAGAGGAGGGGCTCCGAGCCCTCTCCAGTGTCCCTTCCCCGACACCCCATCTTACACCCCTCCTGGAGATCAAGGGCTTCTTCCCAGAACCCCAAGGGCCAGCCCGCCCAGCCCCTGGATAAACGCTGCTTGTGTTTGTGCGGCCGACGTCTCGCTAGGTCACGAGCATGATTTCCGAGTTAAGCACCTGTCCGAGGCCCCGAACGACAAGCACGGGCCGCTGGCCGGTGAGTACCGCAGCCCAGCCCGAGGGTAGCCGCCGCTGCCCCCACAGCAGTCACCAGAGGGCCCAGCCAGCCTCTCTGCTGCGAGGATGGGCCAGACCTGCCTCCTCTGTCTTTCCAGTCTCTCTCTTCCGGGAACTAGGTCTCCCTGCTTCTCTCCAGGTGGGAGTGCGCACCTGGCTCTCAGGGCCCAGGTCAAGGGGAGAAGTTGCCGCTGCTTGGAAGGCAGGCAGGGAGGGAAGGTGACTCCTTGGGGAGCAGGAAGCCCTGACAGCGGCTCCAGCAGCAGCAGCGCCAAAGCTCTGGCTCCCGGGGCCCACCGCTTGGCACATAGAACTACGTTGCTGGCCGGTGCCCCTGCCCCAGCCTCCAGCAGTGGGATCCAGTCTCCTCCTGGGACCGCCAACAGCCAGAGGGCCCTCGCTCTCTGGGGCTCACGTTGCCTCTTCTCAGATTTTAACCTCACACCTCATAAGCCATAGCCCATGGCCTTCCCATATGTTCCAGAAGGCATGCCAGGGCTGGTAGCTGCCCTCGCAGACCCAGCATTGTCTGAGCTGCATGTCTGTCTCAAGGCGCCCTCCTCCTTGACGTGCACACTGCCCCCTGCCCGTCCCTGGCTGCCCTCTCTCCAGTCCAGTCCAGAACCCTCAGTCCTGGGGTCAGACAGACCCTACCCAGGAAGTCCATTTAGGGAAGTTTCCTCCTTACCCTGTTGCCCGGCTCCTGCCACCTCCAGCACCTGACGCTCTGGGACATAAGCACTGTCCGAGGCAGAGCTAAAAGTGAAGCCAGGCCGGGCTCTGCGCAGTTTCCCCTCCAGCCTGGTTAGGCCTGCCGGTCCTCAGCTTCCTGCTGGAACAGCCCTCCCTGTCTGCTGCCAGTCCAGGCCACAGGCCAGGAGCTGGGGGACCCATGCCCCTGCAGCAGGGAGAGGGCTGTCCACAGCCCGGCAGCTCAGTGCACTGCTGTCCCACCAGGGAGAGACGACATGCTGGACGTGGAGACCGATGCCTACATTCACTGCATAAGCGCCTTCGTCAAGCTGGCCCAGAGCGAGTACCAGCTGCTGATGGAGGTCATCCCTGAGCACCACCAGAAAAAGACCTTTGACTCCCTGATACAGGTCCTGCCCCGCCCCGGGCCCAGCTGTCATAGTGGGAGCTCTCACAGCAGAAGCTTGAGTTGGAGCCACGCCTGCTGTCAGTCGCCCTCAGGCACAGCCACCACCTCTGCCTTGCTGTCCCGGTGGTGTGCTGTTGGCACCTCCCCATCAGAAGCACACTGGCTTCCCCCACCCTTTCGGATGCCCTCGCTGTCCTTGGGAAACAGCTGTCACCACCCTGCCCCCTCCCTGAGCGTTGCCCTTGCCCCTCTCTCAGGACGCACTGGATGGGCTGATGCTGGAGGGGGAGAACATCGTGTCTGCCGCCCGGAAAGCCATCGCGAGACACGACTTCTCCGCGGTGCTCACCGTCTTCCCCGTCCTGCGGCACCTCAAGCAGACCAAGCCCGAGGTTGACCAGGTGCTCCAGGTGTGTGTGTGAGGGGAGGCCCAGGGGACCACGGGGAGGGGGGATCCTGCTGCCCTGCCCAGTGTGGCCTCCCCTGGGAACCACGTTCTCTGCCCCTCACCGCTACTCGGAAGGGGGCTGGCAGCCGCTCACGGGTCCTCTGAGTGAAGAAGAGGCAGTCCCATGGGCAGAGGGGTGGGAGGCAGCGGGGAGTGGGCGGGCTGCATGCACACAGCCTGCGGGTGGCCGGCCAGGGTGGGGACGAGGGGCCAGGGCCTGCCCGCCATGTAGGCGTGTGCTTCCTCAGGGCACAGCCGCCAGTACCAAGAACAAGCTGCCCAGCCTCATCGCCTCCATGGAGACCGTGGGCGCCAAAGCACTGGAGGACTTCGCTGACAACATCAAGGTGCACCCCTCCTCCCTGCCCTGTACCCCGCCAGCTGGCTGTGGGCAGGGCCACCGGTAGCCTGGCTGAGGAACTTGTTCAGAGAGTGGAGCTCTGAGTGGGGCAGCCTGCGGGGGGAGTCTCCCTTTCTTTCTGGGGGCTCTAGGCCTGAACCTCCTGTCCCCCTTCTCCTGGCATGTCCGTCTTACCTTTGTGCCTTCAATGTGTCCTGACACCTGTCTGCCAGGAAGTGGCGGCGTGAGCAGGCTGCCTGGCAGTGGGGCTGGGTCCCAGGCCTCCTGGCAGCTCTTTCAGGGAGTCCGGCTGTTTCCCCCACAGAATGACCCGGACAAAGAGTACAACATGCCCAAGGACGGCACCGTGCATGAGCTCACAAGCAACGTAGGTGCTGCCCGCGGTCACCTGGGGCGGGGGGTACCCAGAGCCACCAGGACTGGGCCATGCAGTGCTTGGCACCTCAGCAGACCGGGCCTTCCCTCGCAGGCCAAACCCAGAGCGGGAAACAGGAAGTTCTCAGCCACCCTTTTCACCGGGCAGACCCCGCACTTGCCCCAGAATGGTCACAGGGGCGCACTGTGGGAGCCGACCTGACCTCTGGGTCCGGCCCCTGACCTCCCTGGACCCGTTTTCCCACACAGGCCATCCTCTTCCTGCAGCAGCTCCTGGACTTCCAGGAGACGGCGGGCGCCATGTTGGCCTCCCAAGGTACTTGGCACCTCCAAGCGGGGACCCCCAGCCCAACACCCGCCTCCACCCTCTCGCCTGGAGATGGGCGTTAGGCCCCACAGTGGGCACTAGTCACCTCTGGTGAGGAGAAGTCCTCCAGCTGGTGGAGTGGGGTGGAGATGTGGCCCGTGGTGGGACAGCGGGCTGGTCAGCCCCTGGGCTGAACATCCAGAGAGCTGGGCTCCACTGCCTCGCCTGGCTGACCTCTGCCCCTGGGCTCCCTGGGGAGGGCACCGGGTGTTTGCAGGTGCCCCTTCTGCCCCACCCTCTGTCTGGTTTCTCTGCCTCTTCTCGTGTCTGCCTGTCCTCCTAATGAACCTCACACAGCTGGTGCCTACGGAGGCCGGCATCTCCGGCCAGCCTGGCATCCTCCTGAGGTTGGCGTGTGACGGCATACGTACGCGTTGCCCATCCTGCCAATCACCGAGATCCCGCCCAGCATGTCTGCTCCCCCCATTTGGGGGCGAGGGGACGTGGGGCAGCCGCTGGCCTGGGGTGGCCTGGCCCCGCTGTCCTGGGTGTCCCTAGTCTTCGCAGGGCTGGCCTAGGTGTGAACTGCTGTCCGGGTCCCGGCTGTCGTGGGAGTGGTCTGCTGACTCGGGGCGGCATAGCTGTTTCTAACCTGTTTTTGCACTTTGCATCTTTCTCCCGCCTTTGTCTCCCCCTTCCCCCCTCTGCGCACTGCCTTTCACTCCGTAGTTCTTGGGGACACATACAATATTCCTTTAGACCCCCGAGGTAAGCCGCGAGGTTCTGCAGCCCCAACCTCCCCCTCTGAAGCCCTGTGAGTGAGGTTCCCTGGGGACAGGCAACTGGACAGACTCAAGACCTATTGGGGAGTGGGGGTCGGGGAACACATGGGTCCCTCCTGGGGGCTTCCGGCTCTCGCAGCTCCGCTTTCTGTCTCCGAGGTTACCCGGGCAGCGTCCTGCTGTCTCCAGCATACTGAGTACACCCTCCAGCCTAGCCCAGCACCTGCCCACCCCTTCTGTCCCCGAGCCTGGCCTTCCATTCTGCGTAGGCAGATCCCCTCTGTTCAGCAGGGCATGGTCGAGGAGGTGGTGGGAGTGGGAGAGGGGGAGAGGCCATAGAGCCCATTCCGACCCTGCTGTTGACCAATGGGAAAGCTGGGCCTTAAGTACCACCCAGCACAGGTCTGGGTTGGCAGGCAGGAGGTGTCCCACTCCTCTCCTGCTGGCCAGCCTGCTCCTCATGGGCCACCCTGCCACGATAGAGGGGCTTGTGCTGGGTTCCAGAAGGGGTCCAAGGGAGTGTTCTGTGCAGCAGGCAAGGGCCCTGGAGCCCAGCAGATACCCAGCCCTGCCCCGAGCTCTTTTCTGTCCCATCAGCCAGAGGAAGGCAGGCTCAGAGGCCCCTCCCAGCATGAGCTCAGTTGCCCCTGGGGTGGAGGGAAGGCCGGCGAGGGTGTGGGCCTCCGCAGCTGCGGCAGCAGGGCTTCTCCTCTCTCACAGAGACCAGCTCTTCGGCCACCAGCTACAACTCGGAGTTCAGCAAGCGCCTCCTGAGCACCTATATCTGTGAGTGCTCTCCAGCCAGCCGGCAGCCGTGGCCGGTCCCTAGCCCCCCACCCTCTCCTGTTTTGTGCCCTCTTACTACCCCAGTCACGCAACCAAGCCCCCCACCTTTGGAATTACAACCTAACCTGTGGTTCTGGGGCAGAGCGGGGCTGGGCAGAGGGTTTCTGGAGCCTGTGGGTCCCAGGAGTGGGTCATTTTGGCCACACTGCCATGTGAGCATGGCCCCTTCTCTCCCCGGGCAGGTAAAGTCCTGGGCAACCTGCAGCTGAACTTGCTGAGCAAGTCCAAGGTGTACGAGGACCCGGCTCTGAGCGCCATCTTCCTACACAACAACTACAACTACATCCTCAAGGCCCTGGAGAAGTAGGTGGCTGAGGCTGGTGGGCAGCGCCCCTGGGGGCGGGGGTGTGCTCCTTCGTAGAGCTCTCAAAGGTGGGCTGGGATGGGCAGGCCCCACTGGTGCTGCCGCCCCAAGGCCGGGAGCCTCTGGGCCCTGGGAGCCGATCCTGCCCCCTCCCCTCTGTCCCTGGCCCCACCCCAGGTCTGAGCTGATCCAGCTGGTGGCCGTGACCCAGAAGACTGCCGAGCGCTCCTACCGTGAGCACATTGAGCAGCAGATCCAGACCTACCAGCGCAGGTGAGCGGCTGGGCCCTCCTTCTCCCCCCACCCTGTACCTGCCACTCACACTCCGTCTCAGAGTCTCAGGATTCCGGGCCCGGCCAGAACGGGGTCAGTAACGGGGAACTGTGGCCCTGTGGACCCCTGTCTTCTGCTTGTTTTGTAGTCACAGTCATGGGGTGGCAGTGGGAGCTCCTTCCCCCATCACGCTTGCTCCCAGGTGGGCTGCTGTGCCAGCCTCCTCAGAAGGTGGTCTGCCTGTGGCAGAAGGTGGAGCCAGGCTTGGACTAAGGGCTCACTGTCAGAGATGTGGGGAATGTTTGGCCCAAGCAAAGAGCAAGGTTGCAAGGACACTTGAACTTGGCTGAGCATCGCTCTGCAGAGTTCCCTCTTCTACTTTTGTGTCTCTCCCCTTGTGTTTCTTGCCCCGAAAGTGCCTTCCTCTTCCTTCCCCTGATCTGTCCTCTGCCTCTTTTCCTGCTCATCCGAGTCTGGTCTTAACTTGCCCTGCTACTGACGTGAAGTGTAGCCGATAACCGTTTGTTCAGTTTATTGAATGTTCTGTTTCTTCTTGGTAATTTTAAAAGCAACCATCTCAAGCGCTTTCTATTCCCAAGGAAAAACCTCAGGTGCCTTTTGCTTAGTCGGGACCCAGATCGATTCCTGCCCTCCCCACTGCCCTGCAGTAGATCAAGAGATTTCAACAAACCAACAACCCAACCAGCCCAGGAAGGAGCAGCTGCCCGAGGCTGCCCCTCCGCTGCCCTCTGCTTTCTCTCCCTCCTGGCAGTTGGCTAAAGGTGACTGACTACATCTCCGAAAAGAATCTACCTGTATTCCAACCGGGAGTCAAGGTGAGCCTGAGGCCTGGGCTGGGGAGCGGTGTCTAGCAGGTGTGGTACTTTGGTCATGCCCCTGGGGAAAAGGACAAGAGGCCCTCTGGGAGGAGAGAGTGGAAGGTGCCTGTGGCCATCAGTGCACAGGAGTGAAGGCGGGGCTGGGTGGGGTGGGCGGGGCGGGGGCAGGGGCGGTGCTAAGGTGTCGTGGGAGGGAGCAGGGCAGGCGAGGCTGCTCTGAGGAAAGCTTTCTGGGCCCCCAGCTCCGGGACAAGGAGCGGCAGATGATCAAGGAGCGATTTAAGGTGAGCTGGCATCCTGTCCTCTCCTCTGGCACCACTGCTGCTGTTGTAGCGACACAGACTCAAACGTTTGTTTCCTTTCTCGCCTCTTTGGGGGCCAGGGCTTCAACGACGGCCTTGAAGAACTGTGCAAGACCCAGAAAGCCTGGGCCATTCCTGACACAGAGCAGAGGGACAGGATCCGCCAAGCTCAGAAACACATCGTCAAGGAGACCTACGGGGCCTTTCTGCACAGGTGAGGCCCACGCCCCCACACCCCCAGCTGGGGCTCTCTGCTCTCCTTCAGGAAAACATGGGGCGGGGTTGGGCGACCCCAGCACCCTGGGCATTGGTGTCAGGCCAGGCATGGGCGGCACTCAGGGGCACCCCCATCCGAAGGGCCTCAGACTGAGGAGGAGCAGGGGAGGGGCTGGGCTCCCCACCGACCTCAGTGCCTGGTCAGGTATAGCAGCGTGCCCTTCACCAAGAACCCCGAGAAGTACATCAAGTACCGCGTGGAGCAGGTGGGCGACATGATCGACCGCCTCTTTGACACGTCTGCTTGAGGCTGCTCCCGTCCCTGCCCGGTTGCCCAGACCAACTTGCTACCAGACACATAAACCAATGTTAACTTGCCTCCGGGCCGGGTGAGTTTGATGTCCTTTGGGACAGGTGCCCTGTCCCTGGGCCCTCGGGTCCTGCTTTGTGCTTCTTCCTGCAGCCCCCCTCCTCTACCAAAGTGCTCTCCCGGGCGCTGGCCTTCCTGCACAGCTTCGGTTTTGTGTCCCTGACCACAGCCTGCAGGGGCCACACGGTGGCTTCCAAGCAGGGAGGGACAGAGAGGGAGACCCAGACCTGTGCCCACAGCTGCCTCGGGAACACAGCAGCAGGGGGCGGGACAACCCTGCTGCCCACTCCCATCGGAGCTAAGGACCCAGCCCCCCCCTTCAGCTCAGACCTGCGGGTAGAGGGGCGCTGGCCACATGGCGACCAGAGGGCCTGGAGGGGACACGAGCAGGGCCGACTGCACTTGGACTCAGTGCAGAAGCGCACTCCCCATTGCCACGTCCTGAGGCTGGGGGCTCCGTCCCCAGCAGTGCGTGCTCTCCCCTCCCTCCCTTTGGGGCCCCGCACACCTCAACCGTGCAGAGGAGTTCTGGTGGCCCCGTGCAACTCTCGGGCCGTGTCTCCTGGTCCCCGTGCGTCCTGGCCCAGGGCCAAGCAGCAGTGGTCGCAGGAAGAGCAGTTAGGCGGGGGGGTGAGGGGCAGCTGGGTGACTGGTGGCCACCACTGAGTTCAGGAGCAGAGTGGGGGTTGGGGGGGCAGAGGCCCACCTACATAGACAAGAGTGAGCAGCTGGGCTCGATGCAGACAGACTCTGGGGGTGCACTGGAGGATGGCTTTATATCATGCTCGTGGATTGTGTGCTGACGGAAGGGAGAGCTCAGGGTAGCCCAGGGTCCTCTAGGCTTAGGGAAGAGCCCACCTCCCTGCGCCTCTTCCCAGAGACCCCCGTTATGGCCTTCCCTCGGGCCTGCACCCGGGCCCTACCCTGTCACAGCCTGGGCTGCCTGCCAGGGGGTGCACCCTGGCTGAGGGTCAGACTCACACACCACCCACACCCAGAGCCCCAGGAGGATGAACTGGCTGCACCCCACCCCTGCCACATACTACAGCAGGAAGAAGGTGCGGTCAGCAGCATCAGCCTAGCTCCTCCGGGACCCTGTTACTCCTGGGTGGCTTCTGTGGGGGAGAGGCAGGAGAGGAGCTGTGCTTCAGGGCTCAGCCCGTCCCCTCTCCCAGAGCAGAGGAGTGAGCCCAGGGCCCCTCGGCCATATTTCCCCCTTCATGATTCGCAGCCAGCGAGTGTGTGGCTGTGGCCCATCTTGAGCTGAAGGAAGACCCTCCTAGAGAGGCTCCCCAGGCACAGGGTTATGTTGGGGAGTTCGGAGTCAGCCAGGCCTCCAGGGAAGCCTGCCTTGCTCCCTGCTGCAGACCTGCTTCTGCCAGGGCAGGCGTGGTGGAGCCCAGGGCCAGTGGGGCCAGCAGAGTGAGTGTGAGGAGCCTCCCAGTAGCCCAGCGACCCCCGACCACAGCTCTGCTCCAGGGACCTGCTCCTGGCCTCATTCCTTGTACCCCCCCCCCCAGGAAGGGTCCAGCCACTGCCCTCTTAGGGCTGGGCTAGGGCTCTTCTGGACCCTGAGGTGGTCCTGGGCCAGCAGCCCTGCCAACAGGACGGTCTCTGTGGTGCTGAGGAAGAGCAGTAGCAGCAGGATGGTGATGTATTACACTGGGGACGGGAGGGGGCAACGGTGAGGCCTGTGCCCCCAGTGCCTGGGGAGCTGACCCAAGAGGAGGAGGCAGGGCCAGGCGAGGGTGCAGGGCTTACCAAGCAGCGGGTTGCAGGAGGAGGAGCTGGGCAGGGCCTGCACCGGGGCGGGGGGAGTGAAAGACCAGGTAGCCCAGCAGCAGGTCACCTTGTAGGCAGTGTGATCCATGGCCTGGAGGGGCAGCAGCGTCCCCCCACCCCCACCCCACACACGTCCACCAACAGCAGTACCTCCCTGGGTACCAACAATGACATGATGGCCTTTAGTGCTGTGTTCTGTAAATGCAGTTGGAAGGAAGAAAGGGGGGGCTTTCTGGGGGCCACGTAGCAGGTGGGGGACAGGAAGATGATGTCCTGCCTCTGGCCCCTGCATCTGTGATGCCCCTGACAGATGCATCTGTCAGCCACCTCCCAACTCACGGTCACCTGGAAACAGGGCACCAGCTGCTGCAGCGGGACTTGGGTTTTCAAATCCCAAACCACATGCTCCCTCTTGACACTCACGATCTCCCTCACCACGTGGGCCTGGAGCACCAGCTCCATCACTGTGAGGGGGGGGAGAGAACGGTGAGCTAAGGATACCCGGCCCCCCGACAGCTCTCGGGAGGAGGGCAGGGACCAGCTGGTGCCCACGGATGGTGGTGGAGACTCCGGACGGCTGCTGGGAGCAGATGTGGACATGAAACTGGCCCGAGAGGGCTTCCGGACCTGAACTTACCCCCGCCCCAAGCTTTCCCCAGTGAGAGAGAGGGGCTTCACAGGTTCATAGATGGATTTTCATTGTAAAAATAAATGCACTTTGCACCGCCTCACAGGGGAAGTGGTTGCAGAGTCCCACCAGTGTCTCATCTCCAGTCTGGAGGACCAGGGTTCGGGGGCAGGAGCTGTGCTGTTTCCCAGAGGGGAGGGAGGCGGGAAAGTTGGGACTGCTTGGCTGAGCTGGATGGGTCTATGGGGCATTTACTGGGTGGCCACACCTTCGGGACGTTTCCAGGGATGAGGCTGCAGCAACCTGGTCGCCAACACCAGTGGCCTAGCCACCGCAGTGGGGCCCTGGCTGTTGGGGGCAATTGCTTTGCAGTACCCGAGGGGGAGGAGACAAGGCAGAAGGGGGTTGTGCCAGAGCAGGGAGAGCCAGGGGGTGCTGAGAGTGTGGAAGCTGAGGGTGCAGTGGCTCTGGGCCCCGGGGAAGCAGAGGAGCTCAAAGTCGCAGCTGGTCTCTGTGGTGAGGGCCAGGGAGAGCTTGGTGTGGCCATCTTGGTCCACTTGGGTCCGTGGGCCCTCGTCCTGCCAATCCAACCAGAGCCTGCTGGGAAAAGCGCCACAGCCAAGAGCCCAGCCCCTTCTCTGACAGGGGCGGTGGAGGAGACAGGTAGGTGCCCGACTGCCATCCCAGTCCTCAAGGTTCCAGGAGAGAGAGGGGACACGGGCAGTGGGGGTGCCAGTGACCCGGAAGGGCCACCAGGAGAGGGTCTGCACTACCAGGGCTCCAGGCCTAGATGGGGGGCAGGGACACGCAAGGAGGGTCCTGGGACTAGAGCTCATGCCTCATGCCTCCCGGACAGTGAGTCCCAGGCCAGCATAAGCACACACTGTGGGTGCACACTCATGTTCCAGGCCAGGCGAGTGTCCACCCAGGCCTGGGAACACAAGGATACCACTAAGGCTCTGGCTCTTCACGTATACATGCCTCTCAGCATGGCAGGCCAGTGAAGACCGGTACTTTGGTGCTGGGCTGAGAGTGGGCTCTCCTGCCCCACCTTCACCCCGTTGCACTCACTGCCCACCCCCCACTCAGGGCTCTCACCAGCCGGAGCAGCAGCCTGGAGGACTGTGTACCAAAGGATGTGTTGGGGAAGGGAGCAGCATGTCACCTGGGGGTGGCTGCTACATGACAAAAGGCAGGAGGCCACAGCAGTCCAGGGACCCAGTCCTGTCCCATTCCCAGCTCGCCACCTGGGCCCCGCCCCCTCCTCAGCCTGAGGATGCTTACCATGTCGGACCCATTTCTCACCAACACCTGAACATCCACCGGCAGGGGCCTGTCTCCAGTGTTTGGGATTTGGATGGTTTCCTGAACCTCCAGAGGCGAGCTGAGGTCAAAAAAGGATGGCCAGGGCCCTGGCGGGTGTAGCTCAGTGGATTGAGCGTGGGCCTGCGAACTAGACAATCGCGGTTTGATTCCCAGTCAGGGCACATGCCTAGGTTGCAGACCAGTTCCCTGCAGGCTAGTTCCCAGCAGGGGACACATGAGAGGCAACCATACATTGATGTTTCTCTCCCTCTCTCCTTCCCTTCCCCTCTAAAGATAAATAAAAGATTAAAAAAAAAAAAAAAGGATGGCCAGGCTGAGGGATGAGGTTACCACCACCCAGGTATCTTGGGGCCCAAATCCGAAAGCTCATGATCTCACTCCTTCCACCTACCAACTGCTGGTGCACAGAAGCTGCGGCCCTGGACCAAGGGCGGAGTGGTGCCGAGTCTGAGCAAGGCGACACGGAGCAGGAGCCACAGGGTTATCATGAGCAGCAGCACAGGGGGGCTGGTGGCAGCAGCAGCGCCCAAGCTACAGCCTTCATTTCAGTCACTTGTCTGGGGGACTGAGCAGCTGGTCGAGGCACCCGCTCTGCTCAGTAACCCTGGAGCCTTGGATTGGCAGCCCCACCCCCACTCTGGGTTCCGAAAACACCCAGGACCAAGCCCTGCCCACCCTGCACCTGCTTAGTGTTTCCCATCCTGCTCCATTCCCACCATCTGGCATATTCAAGTCCAGCCAAGTGGGCCAGGCAAGCACAGAACACCCCGTGCCCTGCCCCTTCTCTGACTTGGTCCTTCCAGTCTGGGCAGATGCCAGTGGCCTCTCTGTTTCCACGGTGGGTGCCTGCTGGCTAAGAACTCAAGCTTTTGTCAAAGCGCCCTGCACTCAACGATGTAAGATGGGCACACCCATCTGATTTTTTATACAAAATCAGTTCAGTGACTCCTTAAACACTGAACTGATTTTGTGTAAAAACCCTTGTCTCAAGGACTCCAGAGGTGGGGTGAACTCAGCGTCAGGGGGCAGCCAACTCATGAAGAAACCCCAGGGTATCCTGTTCCCTCAGGGATTCTCAGCCTGCTCCAGCCCATCTGAGCCTTAAGGCAGCTCCGTGCGCCCTGGAACACGACCGGTGGTGGAGTGGCAAGACTTTTCTGGTGAGAAGCAGCAGCCCAGTGAGCGTTTGAAGACCTGATCCCAGAAAAACGCAGCAATGGAAGGAAACCCCAAAGCTGAATGAAAGTCTGAAGCCACTGGTAGGGCTGCTGAGGTTCGAAAGGGCCCCAGGAAACCGGGAGCAGGCGAGGACCCACCCCGCGCAGGCGCTGGAATGCCACCAGGACACACTGGTGTCTGGGTCCGTCATCCACCGACTTTATCCAGTGCGCTTGAACAGCCTGCCTGCCCACGTCACGCATTGGCGACTGCTGGTTTGGCGGTCTACACGCACCTAGCGCCTTCGGATGGCCACGCGCAAAGAGCCTTGGCCGATTGCGCTCTCCCCAGCGTCACCCACTTAGGAATTTCTAGGCAGATTTTTTACTCGGTTTTCTTTGGTGCGGGTTGCCCTCTTTCCCCGTAAACTCAGGAAAGCACGGGCACCAGTCAGCCAAAGCTTCTCTGTGAAGTCCCAGACGCTTTTACCGCACAGCCTCCTGAGAGATATGGAGACACGGAGTGTCGCTGCACGTGAAATGGTGTGCGCTTTTTATTATATTAACAGAAAACTCCATCCACGGTTCCCCCACCTCTGACTCCAATCCTTTAACATCCTAGCCTACATCCTAAGTGCGTTTAAGTCACAGTGACTGTCAAGGTGCCGTGACAGACCTTCTGGTCACTCCAGGAGGGGCCCCGGCCTCCGCGAAGCGGGGCCGCTGGGAGGCGCAGGGCGGGAGAGCCCCGCAGCCTCGCTCACGTGCGTCAAGTCAGTGGACTCACGCTCCAGCGCGCTGCGGCTACGGGTGCCCTGCGCAGCGATGCACACGCGGCCTGAGGTTCTGCGTGGGGCGCGGGGCAGCAGGCCCGCGCAAATCTTGCAGAAGCCCTTTCGGAAGTGTTTGGAGACCAGCGCGTAAACGATGGGGTTGACGCACGAGTTAGCGTAAGAGACCAGGTGGGAGAGGATGCGCAGCGCGTAGGTGGCGCGCGTAAGTGGAAAGTGGCCAAACCAGACGCAGAGGATAAGCACATGGTGAGGCATCCAACAGAGGCAGAAGAGTGTTGCCACGATGATGATCATGCGCGTCACCTTGCGCTTCGAGCTCCGGGCGCCTGAGCCAGCGGCCACCGGGTCGACCGCGCACCAAAGGTAGCGCAGAGTGCGCGCGTAGGTCAGGCAGAGCACCAGCACAGGCAGCAGATAGCTGAAGACAAAGGTACAGATGTCCATGGCGCGGCGACGGGGCGCGCTCCACGCCGGGTGACACACGGTCAAGTTGGCCAACCTCGACTGGCGATAGTAACTTAGGTAGGGCCCAGAGAACAGCAGCGACAGACCCCAGATAAGCCCGATGGCCGCCAGCGCGTTTCGAGGCGTACGCAGCTCTCGGGAGTGTAGCGGGTAGCGGATAGCCAGGTACCTGCAGGTCAGGCCGAGAAGGGAGACGTCGGCTGAGCTGGCGGATTCGCGGGGGCAGGCCCGAATCCTTGCACCCCGAGCCCATACCCGCTCTCGGGGAAGGTCCTTAGCGCACGGTCACACTCCATACACCCAGAGGGAGACTCAGTGCATCCAGGACTCTGTCAGCCCCGTCTAGATGTGGGGCGAGACCCAGCAGCAGGAAAGGCGCGGGTATAGGCCACTCCCCTGCTTTTCTCCGGACTGTGACCACAGTCAGAACCCGGGAACCTTGAGGCTGCAGCAGACAGCCCGGAGACAGGTCAGGCAAGGGACCGCGAGGGAACTCCTTTAAAGAAGCCGGCGCTCTACGGGCCCCACCAGCGCTCTTGGAGCCCTCACGCTCCGCGCTCAGTGCAACTGGGACCTGTAATCGGAATGTGGCCTCACCCCGCTGCTTTCCCGAGGGAGGTGGGAAGCTCATTGGAGTGAAAGAGGGCAGGGAGATACCGTAGTCACGCCCGATTTCCTCCCAAGGAATTATCCGAGTGTCCTTCCAAACTTCGTCTGGCTGGGGGGTGGGGCGGTGAGCAAGCTCCGGCTTGCTCTTCTCCCTGCCCTTGACCGGGGCCTGGGGGTGGGGTGCAGAAGGGGTGAGACCCAGCTAGGCGAGCTCGCTGGGACTTTGGCATGGACCCCGAGAAGGACCCAACTTCCACAGTCTGGACTGCAGTCAAGTGCGCAGAGCAAACCGTGCCTTCAAGGCTAGCGAGGTGGAGGCGCCTGAGTTCCATGCCAGGAGACCCCTGGCTTCGAGTTTAGGATTACTGGATGGGCGACTCCAAGCAAGTCACCCATCTGGTCTAACTCAATCTCGTCTGTAAATTGGGCACTGTAATCCCACCCCTCCCAACCTCACCACCTCGGAGGTGAGGACATGGAGCCCCAAGCCGGACCAAGCACAGGGAAAACTCTTGGGAGCCAGAAGTGCTGCACTTTGTCTGGTGCCTGCAGCCCCAGCCCCGAGGAGGACGCACCTAAGGAGGGACACCGTGGTCCCCCTTCTTACTCCTCTTTCTCCAACACACTGCCTGTCTTTCACTCCCTCCTGGTCCCTCTGCCATTTTAGTCCTTTTCTACTCTCTGCACATCTTTCCTTGACCGACCCCTGGGCTGCCAGGGGGCTTGTTTACCTGTCCAGGGAGACGGCAGCCAGCGTGAAGCTGCTGGCATGCATGGTGAGGAAGATGAGGAAGTGCACGGCCTTGCAGAGCAGCCAGCCGAACACCCAGCCGTCCAGGGTGTAGATGGTGGCTTGGAAGGGCACACAGCACAAGATGAAACACAGGTCGGCCACGCCCAGGTTGAGGATGAACAGGTTGGTGGTGCTGGCAGCCGGGCCGCCGCGCAGCAGCACGGCCAGCACCAGTGTGTTGCCCGCGGTGCCCACGAGAAAGATGAGCGCGAACAGCATGGGCACAATGACCGCCTCGGGCTGCCAGCTGCCCCCGCCACCCATCTCGCTCACGTCCTCGGCCTCAGGGCCGCCCGAGCCGTTCATGGTGCCGCCGAACCCGACGGTAACCGCGCTCCTGCAGCCCTCTGGGTCTTACGCGCGGAGCTCCGGCGGCCCAGCCGCTGCAGCACCCAGCGCGACTCCACGGAGCTGCGGGCCGAGCGAGCTTCGCCGCGGCTGGCGCTGGAGAAGAGGATGCTCCGGAGTCAGGGGGAGGAGCGAGCAGCTGTAGGGGTGGGCTGATCCCCCGAGGCAGTTGGGCGCGCTGGGGGGAAGGGCTGTGGAGTGGCCCTGGCGCGTCTAGGCCGAGACAGGGGCAGCCCACCCTCGGGACGCAGGGCCGGCTGGTGTTGTCGGCGCGCTCCAGCTCCCGGGACCCGACTGTGCCAGGCTGAGCGGCGAACTGGCGTCCCTGGCAGCTGGAGTGGTGGAGGGACCGATCACAGGGACCTGCCCGTGCGCCGCGCTACCGGGAGGGCTCTCCGGGGACTCCGCGCTCCTTGGCGCTCCCCTGCAGCCTGGTGGGACGCCAGACCACCCAGGGCTGGCTGGGGGACGTCCTGGAAAGGAAGGGCGTCCGGGCGGGTGCTAAGAAGTGGGGGCGGGGAGGGGCTCCGTTATCCAGAACTGGCGACTGGGACGGCCCAGCCCTGTATTGCGCGCCTCTTCCTATTCCTACTTCCTAGGAGGGCCACGCCTCGCAGAGACCCCAGAGAGCTCCAGTGGGGATGAGGAACTTGGTCGGCTTCATCTCATTCCCTTCCCTCCCCCACTGAACGCTTCTCCCTCCAGTTCAAGACAATAAATAGCATCTGTTGAGCATGTCCTGTGTGTCGGGCCCTTGGCGTTGTGCCTCGACTCTCTCAGCTGTGACATGGGGTAATAAATAACACCTTCTCCGAGGGCTCTGGCGAGAAGGGAATGGAACCTGTTTGAGAGTCCCGAAGCCAGTTAGTAGACTCGGAGTGAATCAGATTCTTCTCTCCTTGTCCTGGCCCAGCAATTTCCAGCCGTTTTCATTTCATGACACAGATAAACTAATTGCTAAAATTCTGCAGTGCACCAGAATATATAGATTTTGCCGACCTAACAAAAAAAGAAAAAGTAGATACAATTCTGATTCATTCACACCAGATGGCTATGGTCGTGTCCACTGTTGTCGCTTTTGTACTGGCCTTCTGAAGGAACAGAGGTCAGTGCCCCTAACTCAATATTCATGTATTGTATATTTAATTTTTATTTTTTGCCCGCGGCACACCTCTTGGGGCAGGACATGGGTCGAAAATAGGTTCCCTAGTCAGAGACGCAAAGAGGAAAAACTTTAATAAAAAGTAACAGAGTTCCGTGCACCGGCAGCATTTCCTAGGTGGTCAGGACGGTGCTAAGGTTGCAATAACATTTAAATATTTGTTTTTAATTTTGATGTACTTAATCATCAAGCATTTGTGGCGTGGAATCCTTACTGTTTCTGTAGAGTTAAAAACCCCTCGTTCACTAGGTGTGAAAAGCACCACCTTCTCCCTCTGTAGCTCAGTATCTGCTGCCTGTTCCCTTGCCCTGTTCCTTGGCTCCCGGGTCAAGACCATTCTTCTTCCTCTTCTCCCACCCCGTCTAAGGTCTCAGCCTCAGGAGCCCAGCTACCTGCTCTTGTGGGGAGTGAATCCTTATTGACATCCCTGCCCTGCCTGCCTTTTCATTGAATAGGACGATAATAGCGGATCGTATTTATGAGATGCTTGTCATTCATTTATTCAGTGTTTACTAAGCACTTACTCCTTTCCAGGTACCGTTCTGGGTCCTTGGGATCCACCGGTGAGCTCTGCGAAGGTCAAGGCCCTATGTGAGCTTCCCTTCTAGCAGGGAAGACGCACGATAAACATAACTCAAGTAAGTTATTCATCTATTACAAGTTGATAAGTGCTTGTAGGCAAAGTAGACCAGGGTAAGCGAGTTTAGGAGTGATGACGGGGCAATTCAGAGTCGGGGTCAGGCAGACCTCATTAGGAAAGTGACATTTGAGCAAAGACCTGAAGGAGGTGAGGGAGCTGGGTTAGCCGGGGTGGAGCAGAGTATTCCAGGCAGAGGGAGCAGCCGGTGCCGGCCCCACAGCAGGCACGTGCCTGGGTCTCTAAGCCAGGGGTGGGGGGCTGTGTGGCTGTGCTGAGCGAACCGGAAGGAGACGGGCAGGAGAGGAGGCGAGAGGCATAGCATGCAGGCCTTTTTCGATTGTAAGGACCGCGGCTTGTAGTCTGAGTAAAGGTAGGGGCCACTGCAGAGTTTTGACTAAAGAGCTAACGCAATCTGACTTAAAAATTTTTTATTGCAATATATTTCACGTACCATGAAATTTACCCATTTAAATTCTTCATTTGTTTGTGAGGACATTCACAGAGTTGTACTGTATCAGGGTGCAGCCAAAGGGGGGGTCCCACATGAGCCTGCGTAAGAGCTTGGAGATGATTGGCCCCACACCCCAGGGCTACACTGGACTTGCTAATGCTGGCAGCTGTGGCCAATTGTGGGTGGAGTCGGAAATGGTGCGACAGAGGAAGATTGGTGCTGGGATTTAAACCCAGGCATGGCAGCCATTCGGCATCTTTTTGGGACCACGCAGCTTGGGCAGAGAAGAACCACAGACTTCTATTTCTTTTTCAATTTCCCCACGGGCTGGTCAGAGGGGGAAGGAAGAACTGTGTGTTTGTGGGTATTCTAAAGGATTTGGGGATCTCTTTTTTTTGGGGGGTCTCAATGAAGACATGAAATCATTACTCTTAAGTTTGTATAACTCTTTTTAAAATTATTTATTTATTTATTTTCAGAGAGAGGGAGAGAAACATCAATGTGTGGTTACCTCTCATGGGCCCCCTACTAGGTACCTGGCCTGCAACCCAGGCATGTGCCCTGACTGGGAATTGAACCCGAGACACCTTGGTTTGTAGTCCATGGTCAATCTATTGAGTCACACCAGCCAGGCAAGTTTGCATAACTTTTTAAATAAATAATCCTTTTCCTTTACACCAATCTCTGGCACTGAGAGACATCTTTCCCTGGCAGCGGGCAAGGTGAACTCATTACAGGGTTGCGACCCCCGGAGCACAGGGGTGGGTCCATTCAGTAATAGTATATCGTTCACGCATCCCCCTCCCCAGGTCTGTTCTGTAACAGTTTAACCACTGCCACAATCAGTTTCAGAACATTTTCATTCCTCCCCAAAGAAACCTCTACCCTTTAGCCATGAGCCTCCAGTCTCCACCTGACTCTCAGCTCTAGGTAACCACTACTTTCTGTCTCTCTAGATTTACCTATTCTGGGCATTTTATAAATAAACTCATATGATAGGAAGCCTTTTGTGTGGCTTCTTTCGGTCAGTATAATAGTTTAAAGACATCTACGTTGTAGCATGTATCAGTACTTCATTGCTTTTTATGACCAAGTAAGATTCCATTGTATGGACCTACCACTTTCTACTTATTCATTCATCGATGGACATTTGGGAGACTTACTTTCTAAAGGTTTATTATTTTTTAAATATTTTATTTATTTATTTTTAGAGAGGGGGAGGGAGGGAGAAAGAGAGGGAGAGAAACATCAATGTGTGGTTGCCTCTCATGCACCCCCTACTGGGTACCTGGCCTGCAACCCAGGCATGTGCCCTGATTAGGAATCAAACTGGTGACCCCTTGGTTCATGGGCCGGCACTCAGTCCACTGAGCCACACCAGCCAGGGCTTAAACATCCTTAAGTGTCCAGTTTAGTAGAGTACATTCACATTGTTGTGCAGCCAATTTCCAGAACTTTTTAATCTTGTAAAACTGAAACCATGCCTCACAAACATAACTCTACATTTTGACTAGATATTTCATATGGGTGGAATCATACCATATTTGTCTTTTGTAACTGGCTTACTTAGCATATTTGCAAGCTTCATTCATATTGTAGCATGTGTCATAATTTTCTAAAATTTTTATTTATTTTTAGAGAGAGGGGAAGGGAAGAGGAGAGGGAGAGAATCATCCATGTGCCATATCAATCAGTTGCCTCTTGAACACCCTCAAGTGGGGACCTGGCTGGCCACCCAGGCACGTGCCCTGACCAGGAATCAAACCTGGGACCGTTCAATTCTCAGGTGGCACTTCATCCACTGAGCCACACCAGCCAGGGCTAGTTGCCTTCCCTTTTAAGGATGAATAATAAATATCCCACGGAATGGGTAGACCACTTTTGTTCATCTCTCAAGGGCCACTGGGTTGCTCCTCTCTGCAGGCCATCGTGAATGATGCTGTTTTGAACGTGAGTGCACGACCACCCTGTTCTCAAGCCCTTTGGATGTATACCCAGAAGTGGAACTGCTGCATCACTGGTGAGTCTTTAATTTTCTGAAGAAACATCATACTGCCTTGCACAGCAGCACGGAAGTGCACCATTTTACATTCGCACCAGAAGTGCACCAAGGTTCCACTCTTCACATCCTCACCAGTGCATTATTTTGTTAAGATAATAACCCTCCTAATGGGTGTGAGGTGATCATTCATTGTGGTTGTGATTTGCATTTCTCTACTGATTAGTGGTGTTGAGGAGAGACTTCATTTAAAATGCACCAGTTCGTTTAAACTTCCATAACAACCGTCTTAATTCGCTATCCTCATTTCACAGATGACGAAAAAGGCGTAGAGACGAAGTTATTTGCCCCAAATCTCCTAAGCAGCCATAGTGGAGCCATAATTGAAGCGGCAGGACTCAGAGACCCCACAGCCGGCAGCTCCAGAGCAAAGATCTGTGGTCTTCCTCGCCCAGCAATTCTCTCTCTCTTAGGACTGCTCGCCCCAGAGACCAGAGAAAGGCACAGGTCCCCGGCAGTCATAGCGTTCCCACGTCGGGTGCTTCCTTCCTATAGGTGGTCACCATGTCTCCCGAGCCCCGGGGAGGTAGACACCCGAAATCCAAAGTCCCTAACCACCCACCCGCGGTTCTCTGTGAGCGGGAGTGATTGGGACCCTCCATGCAAGGATGCGGGAGGTAGGGGTTCCATCTCCTGGACCTCTCAG